ACATGGTCAAGCCTGGCCTGGTTCTTCCCTGCCCCATTCCGACACGGTGAAGTTTCCAGCTTTGAAGGCCATTTGAGCTCTGTGGTGGCTCCAGGATGGTGCCCAGCACAGTTCAGATTGGGAAGGGCTCAGCTCCATGTGAAGGGTCAGGAAGGTGCTTTGAATCCCTATCCAGCTCCCCATTCCACCTCCTCATCCTCACTCCATCCCCAAATAGAGACTTATCTCCAGCTGAATTTACAGCTCTGTGTGTTGGGCAGGAGAGCACCAGATCCCAACCTGGGACAGGCAGGAGCCATCCCAGGGGCAGTGAGAAGCAGCTGGAGTTGTTAGAAAATAACCTTTCCCAGCTGAGAGAGCTCTTCTTCCATCATCTCCTGGAGCCCTGCAGGGCCCAAACCCACTGTTTGAGCTGGACTGGGGATTCTCATGGAAGATCCTCATTCCTCCAACACAAGGCAAGAAGAAAAAACCTCCCCAGCAGCATCTCCCTGGAATGCAAGTGGGATGGGGTGAGAGGATGCATCCCTGGGTGAAACAACACCATTTCCCCTCCACATTGGCCACAAATCATGGGAATGGGAGTTGGCACATGCAGGTACAAGGCAGAGACTTCTCCCAGTCCTTCCTCTCTCTGCTGAGCCATTCCTGAGCTTTCTGCCCTCTGTGCCATCCCTGAACCACAGACCTCAGTGCTCTTCCTGAGCAGAGACACCCACAGGGACACAGCACAGGGCTCAGGGCAGGACAAGGACCCGGGAGTGCTCCTGAAGCACAGGAAAACAGGGGGGAGAAGGAGGGACAAACAGCAGTGTTGGAAGCAAGAGGGGAGGAAAATCCGTGCACAAATGCATCCGTTGCCTGGCCCAGTGTGAGCCTGGTGGAGCCAGGCCAGCTCCAGCAGCTGAGATGTGCAGGGGGGAGAAAGGAGGGGAAAACAGAGGGGGAATTTTCTAGAGGGGAGCACAGCAGCCCAACACAGCCACCAAGAGCAGCCAAGGGGGACTGGGGACCCTGAGCACAACCCATGAGACCTCTGCAAGGAGCAGGGAAATGCCCCAGGGGGCTGTGGTGGAGGGGTGGGGGGCAGCTTGGTGGTCTCCTCCAGATTTTTGAGGCAACTTCTGACCTTGCTAACAGTCCCTGCTCCCAGTCTGTGGTGCCCAGACACAAGGAGGGAAGTGCGGACACGTGGAGGTGAGTGTGGGCATGCAGAGGTTCACCCCAAGGACATGACCCACCTTGTGTTTTCACCCCCAGCCATGGGCTGGAGGGTGTGATTGCCCCATGGCCTGGTTTGCCTGTTGCCAATGGGGCCACACACCATGAATTTTGCTTCCCCCGTGAAAAAAATCAGAGAGGGAGTGAGAAGGAAAAGGCGTCGGATGGAAAAACCCCCTGCTGCCTGCTGGGGGGAGTGGAACCAGCTAATTTCATGCGTCTCCTTCTTGTTACAGAGTGAGGTCCCTCCTCACCTGCTCCTGGGCATGGTTTCCTGCCCCCAGAGCCAGCAGCAAGGAATCTGACTCCAGTTTAAAGGCGAAGAGCTCGTCCACGCTTTGCAGCCCAGCTCCCAGCCCAGGAGGGGAGCTGCTGCCCAGGGTTTACCAGCTGTCTGCACCCATCTGGTGCCTTTCCACCCCTCTCTGCACCAGCCCCTGGCAGGGGGATGCAGACAGCTCTCTGTTGGGGGTCTCTCCTCCCTGGCAGCACCATCCTGGGGTTCCTCTGTTTGCTTGCACCAAACTGCTGCTCTGTCACCCCAGGGCATCGAGGGTGAGCGGCTGCAAACACCATCTCCCAGTCCAGAACAGGGCTCAGCACTGATGCCCTGGGGTGGATATGGAAAATTCTGGAGAGAGACACCTCCTGACACCATCCAGGGGCATTCAGTGGTCTGGGCCTGGCCGAGAGGCTCTTGGTTATCAGTTTGTGCCTACCCAGAAAGCTGCTCAGAATGGATCTTCATCTCTCAGCACTTCCACCTTATCCTGTCATCCCTCTGCCCACCCTGGGACCCCAGGGCACCCACCTGCCTGCTGAGAACACTGTAAGCTCCCAAATCCTGTTATCACACAGGGAATGACACCCACTCTGCTTCCCATGCTAGCCCAGAGCATCTTCCTGCACAGGCAGGGAGGGCAGCGAGCTGGAAACCCCATCCCTCTCCACTCCATTTCAGGAAAACACTCCTCTCCCCATCCCACCCAGCCCAGCACTGTGCCCACACTCCTCTCCCAGCACCCAGCACTGTGTGGAGGGTGATATTGCAGCCCCAAATCAGGGACAGGCAGGAGCTGTGCCCTGGCAGCAGAGGCTGCTGGCAGGGAAGCTCTGCATCCCCTTTGGAGCTCCTTCTTTGTGTGTGACTCCTGCCAAGCTCCCCAGCATCCATCCGTGGCACCTCCACATCCCTGGCTCCACACACCAGGGAAAAACAAGCAGCTGAGGTCAGCACCAGCCCTGGCTGCTCGGGGGCCCTGAGGCACTGCTGGCTCTGAGGATGGGACCCTGCTGAGCCACTGAAGTGCTACGAATGAGGCTCCAGGCCCTGCGTGAGCTTTTGTGCCGTGTTTGGCACGGGGAGAGCTCCACTGCAGCCTGGACGTGGGCACTGTGCCAGGACAAACAGTCTCCAGAAGGGAAAGGTGGGAACACACACATGTGGATGTGTCCCAGCCCTCGAGCCCACGTGGCTGATGTGGCCCCATCGACACTTCCACTCCTTAAAATCAGTGTCCAGGCGTCGACAGGTGATTTTCAGTGGGAAAATCTCTTATTCCTCAACCCTTCAATGTGTGTGGCCCTCCAAGCTGCAGCATCCTGGTCTCTTCCTCCTTGCAGCTGATGGGTGGATGTGTTGGGGTGTGCTGCTCACTCCCAGCACCCACCAAGCTCACCCACTCATAGGTGCTGAGAGTAGCTCCTACAGCTTTTATGCTTGATCAGAGAATCATAAAATCAACTTGGTTGCAAAAGACCTCCAAGATCATCCAGTCCAACCCTATTGTGGTTACTAGACCATGGCACTAAGTGCCACATCCAATCTCATCTTGAAAACCTCCAGGGATGGTGAATCCACCACCTCTCTGGGCAGCAGATTCCAATGTTGCATCTCTCAACCCAACAGCAGTGAGGAGCATCACTCCATGCCAAACAGCCCAGTCAAGGATTTCTCTCCAGTTTGCCAGAGGTACCATCCTGGCTCAGTTTCCAGAGACAGGATGGTGAGCTGGGAACAGCCCCTGCCCTCCCACAAGCCCATGATGGGCATCAAACCTGCTCCCAGCCAGGGATGAGCCCCCCATGAAACCACTGATTCACCCAGGTCTGGTACAAACCTTTTATTCCCCCTCCCAGCTCAGGGCTGGGTTTGCCCTTTGGAAGTGAAGCTGGGATGGTTCCTCAGCCCTCCTCTCCCCAGAGCTCATGTCCTGGGGAGTGGAAGGTCCACCTTGGCTGGGACACCACAAACTCCACTGAGCTTCACACTGAGCCAAAAAGCAACAACAAAAAGTGTACCCCAAAACGGACACGAGAGCCCCACACACCCCCAACCCAGTTCCCCAACCCCAGATATGTTGCACAGGTGAAAGTGATACGGAGCAGCACAAAACCAGCAGGGATAGGGACAAGAGCCCCTGGTCCCACCACACCATGGGCCCCCCCAAGGCTGAGCAGCCCCAGGGAGCAGCTGGCACATGGAGAGAGCCCAAAAACCCAAGGGTGGGGGGTCAGGGGTAATAAGTTAATCTGTACAGATGTGTTAGGTGGCACAGGGATGGCAGAGACCACAACTGAGCCATCTCTGCCAGCTCAGGGGTGTCCCCATGGGGCACCAGGGACTGATGAACCACATGCCAGTGAAAATCAAACCACAAAACGATGCACAAAGTGGAGTGATGGAGAATGGTGGGGAGAGGGGGAGATGCTCACACTGGGAGGGAGGGAATCCCTCTACACTGAGGGGCTGAGAGAGTCCCTGTTGGTTAGGAGGCCCCAGGGTTGAGCCCTCACTTCCAGGGCAGTGCTATGAGCACAGGGACATGGAGACTTGTTGCTGCCAGGTCCTGCCATCAGCTACAGCCCTGCAGGATAAGCCACTCCCAGCATTGCTTGGGGATGCTGAGCACAGGATGGAGACATCCCAACAGAATTCTGAGCCAAGGATGGAGCCACCCTAACAAGATGCTGAGCCCAGGATGGAGCCATCCCAACAGAATTCTGAGCCAACGATGGAGCCACCCAAAGATGATGCTGAGCCCAGGATGGAGCCATCCCAACAAGATGCTGAGCCCAGGATGGAGCTGTCCCAGCAGCTCCCACCTCCTGTCCAAGCCTGGAATCAGGGAAACCCCACCTCATCCCCTTCTTGTTCCCACCAGCAACCTGTCAGCATCCCAGTGGCAGCACGGAGCAGGGAGGGGAAGGAGCCATCCCAGGGCCCCTGCTCAGCTCCGGGGAGGGGCGAGCTGGGTCCTCCTCGCGTGGGCACAGCAGATCCGCTGCTCTCTCCGGCTGCCAACGCCAAATCCATTCGCCACGACTCGGCTCCCCGAGGCAATCGGCGGAAGGGAGTTCCCAGGGCCGGAGCCGGCGCCTTGGAGGCTCAGCCCAAGGTGGGAGGCTGGGGATGTGCCGAGCCAAAGCTCAGAAGATTGCAGACACTCTCCATCCCCCACTGCAGCCGGTTCCCTCCTGCCCAGCCCTGGACACATGCCCGGAGGGCTGCGGGGCCCCGGGGGCTCTTCCCTTGGCTCTGGAGTGCTGCAAACCAGGATCCCAGCAAACAGCACATCTATGGAGGAGGCAAAGCCACTGCCCAAGCTCCCAGAGCCTCCTCCGCAGAGAACATCCCTGGGGAGGAGAGTGGGAGCAGCTGGATTGTCCCCCTGGTCCAGAGATGCTCCTCTGGGAGCTGGGGGTGTGGGGCAGTGGGATGGGATCAGGGATGATGCCATGGGATGGTGACAGGGAGGTGGTGGGAAGGGGTGGGAATGCTACAGGATGGTCTTATCCAGGTCGACTTTGAGGGGCAGTGGTCCTGCGTCCTCAGCGCCGTGCGCGGGGCACAGGGTGACGGCGATGACAGGAGGCAGGGGGAAGGTGCTGGGGCCATCCAGGTCCTCCAGGTACTCCTTGTCTCCATTGATGCTCAGAGGCTGGAAGAGAGGCAGAGGTGACTGTGCAGCCCTAGGAGACAGGATTCTCTCATCCCAACCTGGGAAGGAATTGACTGAGGACATACCAACATGGCATGGACACGTGGAGAGCTCCACACACTGATTGAAGGCCACAAACACTGTACAGCAATGTCTTACCCACCCACCACAGGGACCCTCAGGGTGTCAGGACCCTCATAAGACCCCTCTGGGGGCTGTGCTCACCTGGGTCTTGACATGCTGCTCGGGGGCAGTCACCAAACTGGCACAGCTCAGCCACAGCATCACCATGATGGAGAGGAAGAGGCAGGCAGCCAGGATCCAGCGAGGAAGGCCCGAGCGCCTGTAGCACCCCGCCACCCCCCACCAAAGAAAAGGGACCAGTTTATGGCAGGGCACAGGCTGGGGCTTGGGGTTGGGGTTGGGATCTGCCCCTGTAGGTCCCAGACCCACACACCAGCCCAGTTTGCACTTACTTGGACATGCAGCCGAGGAAGTCGTGCTCCTGCTGGGGAGGCTCTGGGGGATGTGTCTTGGTTTTGCCCCGTGGCTCCTTCATGGGGAGTTTCTCCCCCTTTGCCCTGGGGCCTGGGAGGGGAGAGGTGATGCTGAGCCTGGACACTCACGTGGGTACACCCACTATACTCCCCATCCCTTTGCCAGCACGTGATGGGGGTGCTGGGTGGTTCCCTCTCCCCCTGGGGTAGATCCCAGCAGCTTCTTGGAGCAGGTCCCCAGTCTGGAACCCTCCTGGTCCCTCCCCAACCAGCCCAGACCCCTATGCACCTGTGTGGGACTGGGGGCCACGGGGGCTGGACCCTGGTCCTGGCTGGGCTGGCTGGATCTCCTGCACCTCAGGTGCTGCATACTCCATCTCAGGCTGGGACTGGATTGGCAAGGAAAGAGGGAGAAGGAGGTCAGGAAGGAGGTCCTCACCCCTCTCAGCACCCACAGGTAGAGCCCATGGCTCACCCCACCTGAAACACCACGACTTTGCCATCATCTGCCTGCAGGTAGAAGGTCCAGGTGGAGGAGATGAAGCTCTGGGCAGAGCTGACAATGTCGTTGCAGAAGGTGGAGACCAAATCCAACATGGAAAACGATGGCACCTTCAGCTCCAGGCTCTGCAAAGGACCACAAACATCATATCACTGCTGTTCCCCATCACCCACCATGGTGGGCAAATTCCCACCCTGAGGATGCTGCAGCTCATCCTGCTGCTCCCAGGGATGAGGATGTGCTGGGGCTGTGGTCCAGCTGCAGGAGGGTCACACTGAGAAGGTTGTGATCCCTGGGGTCATCCCCCTCCAGGAGGGTCACAGAAAGAAGATTGTGATCCCTGGGGTCATCCCCCTCCAGAAGGGTCACAGAGAGAAGGTTTTGATCCCTGAGGTCATCCCCCTCCAGGAGGGTCACAGAAAGAAGATTGTGATCCCTGGGGTCATCCCCCTCCAGAAGGGTCACAGAGAGAAGGTTTTGATCCCTGAGGTCATCCCCCTCCAGGAGGGTCACAGAAAGAAGATTGTGATCCCTGGGGTCATCCCCCTCCAGAAGGGTCACAGAGAGAAGGTTTTGATCCCTGAGGTCATCCCCCTCCAGGAGGGTCACAGAAAGAAGATTGTGATCCCTGGGGTCATCCCCCTCCAGAAGGGTCACAGAGAGAAGGTTTTGATCCCTGAGGTCATCCCCCTCCAGGAGGGTCACAGAAAGAAGATTGTGATCCCTGGGGTCATCCCCCTCCAGAAGGGTCACAGAGAGAAGGTTTTGATCCCTGAGGTCATCCCCCTCCAGGAGGGTCACAGAAAGAAGATTGTGATCCCTGGGGTCATCCCCCTCCAGAAGGGTCACAGAGAGAAGGTTTTGATCCCTGAGGTCATCCCCCTAGTTTTGATCCCTGGGGTCATCCCCCTCCAGGAGGGTCACAGAAAGAAGATTGTGATCCCTGGGGTCATCCCCCTCCAGAAGGGTCACAGAGAGAAGGTTTTGATCCCTGAGGTCATCCCCCTCCAGGAGGGTCACAGAAAGAAGATTGTGATCCCTGGGGTCATCCCCCTCCAGAAGGGTCACAGAGAGAAGGTTTTGATCCCTGAGGTCATCCCCCTCCAGGAGGGTCACAGAAAGAAGATTGTGATCCCTGGGGTCATCCCCCTCCAGAAGGGTCACAGAGAGAAGGTTTTGATCCCTGAGGTCATCCCGATGAGGATGTGCTGGGGTTGTGGTCTAGCTCCAGGAGGGTCACAGAGAGAAGGTTGTGATCCCTGGGGTCATCCCCCAGCGCCAACACTGTCTCCCAGGGGTGGTGGGATCACCCTCACCCCCCAGTGCTCCCAGCAGCGCCGCAGCCAAGGCGCGGCAGCCGAGGGCGTTGCTCTCCTGGCAGCCTCTCGGTGCCCTGGATTCTTGGCCGTCGCGGCGGTTTGTTATTTTTAAAGCATCCCTGCTGGAATCCGCTTGGCTGCTCCCTGCCACTGGCTCCCAACATTTTCCGACAGCCCCTTGCACGGTCAAAGCAGCAAACAGGAAATAAATAGGTCAGATTCTGTATCTAATTATTATGCTAAATCTGCTTTGCCTGCTCGTCTGGGAACCCGAGGGAAAAAAAAATACTTTGGGTGAGTGAAGGGGGTGATGGTTCTCCCTGGCAGACAGTCACTCCCACTGCTCATCCCTGACCCTGCAGAGGGGCTGGGAAATGGGATCAGACACTGGGAAGGGCTTAAAAAACAGGCTGTGAAGTGGTTTTTTCCAAAGGAGCCACAGCTTTTGTGGCACAGATTTATCTTTGTCTGCACGTGCACAAAGCCAAAAGCTTCTTCCTTGGGCCAGAGTCTAATTTAATTACTTGGGCAAAAGCTGAATTAATTAAATGGAGGAGGGGAAAATGTTGCTAATTGCTGGGAAGGATAACAAATCAAAACTGGAGGATTCTGCCACGTTGCCCCGTTGGATCCTCTCACCCTGGGATTGCCCTGCCTGGCCCAAGACAAATCCAGCCCAGTATATCCCAGTTAATTTATTTTATATGCTTTGGATGAGGTGGTGTGGCTTGGATCAATCTGGTACACCCAGAGCTCCAATCCACATGGATGGAGGGATGTAGGGAAGAATGAATGATGGATGGGTGGACAGAGGGATGTGGGAGAGAGGGATGGATGGATGGATGGATGGATGGACTGCATGTGTAGGGTGCTACATCTCCCATCCCCAGGGAGAGAAGGGACTGTGCTGAGCTCCTGTGGGAGGAAGGTTCTCCCCATCTCCCCATCTCCTCACCTTCTCCCTCCTGCTCTCCTCCACCTCGGGCAGCTGCTTGTGGCACCCAGTCACACAACCAAACTGCTCCTCTGCATTGCTGTAGGCTTCAGCACACGCTGCAAGGCAGGAGAGGGGTCAAGCTTAAGGGGTGCTCAACCCCAGGACCCCCTGTCCCCCCCATTTCCATCCAAGGGATGACAACCAGCACCTCACTTGGCCTGCAGCAGGGTCTGGATGTGACCCTGGGGCACGGCGTGGGGGCTGAGGAGGCAAGAGGATGAAAGGCACCACAGTGGCACGTGGGGATCCCCCTTG